AGTGTTTTTGTACAAACACAGGCAAACACACATTCACACAGCAAACTGACTGACACCTGATTAGCTCAGAGCAGTCAGGCAGACCTGGGTGTTGTCCTGACACCTGAGTCTCTAAACTGTGTCTTTGTCAAAGCCTAGGAGGGGGACTGTCTGTGTAGCCCTGTGTGCCAAAGACCCCTCCTAGGACTGTCTGTGTAGCCCTGTGTGTGTGTTTTATAAACTGTAAGGATGGTTAGGTTCTTAATGTTTGATAAGACCAAGACATGTGTGTAGTTGTTTTTATTACAGGATCACCTTTTAACACAAAAACTAAATGTAGTTTTAATTTAGCCAAGAAAATAGAATGGTATAAAGCAGACTGGGAATAGATAAACTTTATGTAACGTTATGTCATGAGATTCCCAGAAGAACCACATATCCCTAGTGGCGCCTCCCGCTCGGCAGCCTGTGAGTTAGAACCACGTTTTAATTGTGCTTCCAGTGGCAACCTGTGTCGGTAGCAAAGACGCTGTACATTTTCTCATTGTGGGACAAAAGGGACAAAACTATTATTATTATTAATATTATTATTATTATCATTATTATCATCATTGTTGTTGCTGTTGTTGTTATTATCCACTTCATCTTCTTTACACACTTTGGGACATCTGTTTCTGTGGTTTAATCCACACATGGTCTGTCCTCATTCATGTCCTACGCCAGCATTTTCCAAACTTTTTTGGCCATACATCCCCTTCTATATCCCAGTCGAGTTGACACTACTTGACCCATTTCAACAACACGCAACATTCCAAACCCCCTATCACTTTGTTCATCTTTTGCACACCCTTGTGGCAGCTCATGCACCCCCGGGGGTGCTCACACTACACTTTGGGAATCCCTGTCCTACAACATTCTAATATTTCTCTCCCACTCTTATGAATCAGCAGCTGAGAGTAGTCTTACCCTGTAGCTGCTCTGTGTGGAAGTAGGAGGTTAAAAGCTCTCAGACAAATAATCCCTGTCGACCAATGATTGCCCTGTATTTTTAATGCCTTATCTCTCTGTTCACTGCATTGCATAATCTTTGCCACGGCCTCTACCAACAGTGGGATGACAGTGTCACTGTGGCCGGTTTGATGCATGCAGTCCTACAGAGAGAAGATCCAAAACGCCAACACTGTCATCATAATCTGAGCATGCACACAAACACTGACAAACGGTGGTTATTATTATCTGCGCTCCACTAAGAGGATTGCTTCCTGCACTCTCAGCCTCCTCTTCACATTGCTTTAAATGGAGCTTCCATTGCCTCCCTCTGCCTCCCACAGCTTTAAGGGGAGAGAAGAGGAGGTGAGAGGAAGGGTGGAAAACAGAAAGTGCTGATAACCAAAGACAGGTCGGTAGAGGAGGGGAGCGCTGCACTCTGCTGTCGTCTCAGGATCTGGTCAGCAGTGCAGCGGGTGTGTGTGTGTCACAAGTGACAGCAGGCACTGCCTGCTGCTGCTGCTGCTGTCAGCTCTGCTGCTGCCGCTGCTTCTACTGAAGGGATAACTAGAAGTAAAACCAAAGAGGACACTAAACAGGAAGCTGCAGCCATGACCAGTCAACAGGATTCAGGCTTCTTTGAAATCAGCATCAAATCTTTACTGAAATCCTGGAGTGGCAGTGAGTTGCTGTTTCCTGATATTTTTTTAATGTTTGTGACTGTGCTTTTGACAACATAGTGTCTTAGTCATAGTGTTTCATAGCTGAGTGACACACAGTGCAATTTACCTCATTTCAATATCCACAAATATATCTGTCAAATATCTCCTGTGAGTTTCAACTTGGTTGATGATTATTAAACGTACAAGAGAGATGGCTCACAGTTGAGAACATTTGAGGTATTAAAAAAAACAAAAACAAAGGGTATGGTGCTTAGGATTCCCTATAGAACAACTCGAAAACATTCCTTTATTTTTTGACAAAGATCACAAAAAGTATTTGCTCCTGATTTGGTCTGCTTCAAATGTTCTTGTATTTTTTTTTAATGCAAGTGTTTAGGATGTGCTCATACAATTACATACCATTGCAAAATAGACCCTTAAGGTGGCACTAGTGCCACTCATTAGGGTCAGAACTGCTAGTAAAGCCCAAAGAAGAAATGTGGCTAAGAATGTTAGCAGGTTTAGCTTAGCCTAGCAAAACATTGGTACGACGTCTACATATTTAATCTCAGGTTAAAACAATTTTTTTTCAAATGTGGTTACTGTTCAATGTTCATGTCCATGTGGTTGAAAAAGAAGTGCTTCAAAACCAGTAGCTGCTTTTTTAAACACCTCACTTAGTGCCTTGGTTCCTGGCAACCTAACATATATATATATATATTTATATAATATAATACTGAGGCTAACTGGCTGACAGCACATTTTACTATACTTAAATTTCTCACAACTCTTTAAGATTGTATTTTAATGTTAAATTACATTTCTGGCTAAAATGATCAAAATGTGATAATCAAAAAATCTGTTAAAATACAACTATATTTCAAATCATACTCGTGTAGTTTACAATGTCCACCTCTACAGCCTCAGTTTCCTGTTACATTCACACCAAAGTGTTTTATTAATTTTATCTCTCCATTTTTTTATTTTTACAACTTACAGTACAATCATCCAACATGAAAAATTCTCAATAATAATAATAATAATACAAAAGCCACATGGTTACATAACATTGCAATTGTGCAAATAAAACGTATTAAGTCTGTGATTTAGAAAGTCACCCAGGTGGAGTTTCTTATACTGACCCTTTTTCGCTTATGTGTCTGTGAATCTACAGCAGAGTCTTAATGGCTCATGTGGAGTACAAGGACACAATAATAGGATTACTGGATGATGAGACGGTTCAGCTTCATTGTATGGCAGCTCCACTGCTTTCCAATGCAGAGCAAAGAGGCTGCCATCATGTGGAATATATTTTATATTTAACATATACATATAACCCTGGACCAAGGCTGGCAAAAGTCAACCAGTTTTGAGCCTATAATGAATGAGGTAAAAAATACAGAACATTAAGTTTACCAAAAAAAAGGCTAGACTATGCACATTGGATTTTAGGTTGGACTTTTTTATTTAAAACATTTTAATAGTTTTAATATTAAATAGAAAATAAAAATAGTTGCCATCAGGCTCTAGTGTAACAGCATCCTAAGATAATCACAAATATTAACTTCTGCCAGACAATATAAGAAAGCATATATAATATTATAATATATAAAAGAAAATTATAAATCCCAAGTTCATAAAGTCAAAAACCAGATGGTAGAATAAGCCAGTACAGAATTTGCTCAGATCTATTTAAAACCTGTCAAATTGATTAAATGATCTTCAAAATAACCAAGTGTCTAAAAACATATTTTACCCCATCAACCCAAAGGTATATTTGCGACCTTGGTATACTGTATAAATCCACATCTACAAATAGCAGCGGTATTATTTTACCTCCTCTATATCAGACAAAGTAAACAACGTCATGACCCTTAAGACTCCAGGCCTCAGTGAGACTGTGGCTGCAGCTCTAACTAAACAGAAACAACCAGCACTATTGAAAGTGCCTTCAGTTCAGACAAGTGGTGAGCAGTGGAACAACACGTAACTCATTCAGAATCAACTTAGCATTTTGTTACCTCTGCCAAGCACAGGTTGTGGCTCACTGTCTGTCCGTGAACAATGTGGCAGGTGAATTTGAACAGAGTAGAATAAAAAATAAAAAAAAATCCAGAACGGTACTCATTCAGAATCAACTTAGCATTTTGTTACCTCTGCCAAGCACAGGTTGTGGCTCACTGTCTGTCCGTGAACAATGTGGCAGGTGAATTTGAACAGAGTAGAATTAAAAAAAAAAAAAATCCAGAACGGTATATCTTTGTTTGTTTTTCACAGAATAAATGTATATATTTCAAAGATAGAATGTGCAGACGAGGTCCAAATACATTGCAACAGTATGTTGCTCTTTTTCCATAAAGTTTCCCATATTGCCTGGCACCCCCGCCCCTCTTTCGTATCCTGCCCCCTTGTGTCATTACATCAGCCTGCTCAGGAGTTGTTTGGAACATGCATACATTTGCCAGAATCCTGCTAATTGTTTGATAATATTGGGCCAGCATATGAAGCATGAATTGCCCACAACTTTCTCACAGAAGTGCTCTGTCAGTGTTTCTCCCAGCAGCTGGACAAAGCTCTCCCAAATGACTGTGTTGACATTGGAATTTGTGGTTCAGTTACGGAGGTCAGTGGTATCTAAATATCCACCCACTCTGTTCACAAACGGCTGCTACAGTGCTTGTTTGCTCAATGTCTCAATGGACTGCATACACGGCATGGCTTTGTGTGTATATTATAAGAGTACGTGTATATGTGAGCAGTTGTGTTTGTGTGTCTGACAGTGGCACTTGAAGTCCTGTCAGCATTGTCTGTCAGAAGCACCAACACACTCTGAGTCTCCAGTATGTTTATGATGTAATGCACTCTGTCCACCAGCTCCTTGTTTGCAGTGAATCACATGTTTGAATCCTCATAATGCACCAAGAGCAACAAACAGAGCCTGACACTGTACTGGATCTGCACACTGACTGCTCTCTTCGCCAGCTTTGTGTTAGTCAGAAAATAGAATCCCAGAAATAACAAAATGCTCACCAGAAATAACAAAAAGAGTGAGCCAAAGATAAAGCTAAAATTAAGCCCAGTAATATCCTGTTTGTAATTTGATAAATGTGTTACAAAATGTCCTATCAATTAGTCATTTCTGGTGATTGCAGGAACTCGGGAATTTCTGGTCCAAGTTTCCAAACACATCAGGGAAATAAGTTGGCCTTTAAATGCCAGACATCAAGACGTCATCAACTAAAGTGTGCAGTGAATGATTTGGTTACCTACCAGTATATATTCACCTTTCCCAGATTAGAAAATGGAATTTGACCACAGTACACTAAAGACAAGGCCAAAAATATCTTCATATTCACATTTGAATGAATCTGTCTCTGCCTCTCTGAAGGTACGAATTTAAGTTTGTATTCTGTCCTATTTGTTTAGTTTGTTAAAATTTAAAGTTACAGCAGAACTTTAAGGGCTTAAAGAGCCCACTGATAGGTTTGAAGAAGCACCAAATTCCCTTGTTCGCTGGGGATACGTTGATGGGTGAAATACAGAGGAAGATTGTTTTTAAATGTATCTGTATATATGTACAATGAGAGTGGCTGTTGTAAACTGAGGACCCTGTATTTAATTCATATTTCTAGGACATTGTTCCCCATTGCTACTCTAAGATCTAAACCTACCAGTAAGTTCTAAACCTGCCATATGCTAAATGCTAAAAGAATGATGTTGACTAATGCTTAGAGATCAAGGAGGTGGAGCAAAGGGGTGGGCAGCCCTGGCAGCATGATGTGTATCCTGGGATAAAAATAGTCCTACTACTATGACACCATAGGTTCAGTGCCTGTGCTGTAGCTCAGCTAAAAATTCCTGTCTGACCTTCTCTCTTGGAAGCTACTTGCTAGTCACAAGGGCTGGAGATAGTTGTAGCTGAAGCAGCTACGACAAGCACTGACAGAAGACCTGGGAATTGCACTCTTGTACCTTCTCTGGTATTGTTCATTGCACTATGGAACCTGTGCCCAGCAAGTCAGAACCAGCTGACACTTACAACATGGACTTTGGTGGATTACTGGGAAGAATTACTTCTTGAATTGAGACAACCCTGGATACTAATTCTTCTATCCACACCATGAACAAAACAAATGAATGCTGGAGTAGAGCCAGCATCATCAGCTTCATCAAGGGCCTGGGTAGGTGTTGACTTGTCACAAGGTGGGACGACCCCCTGTGGGGGGATATATTAAAGTCCTCCATGATGAACAGCTGGAAAAGATTTGTTCATACGTTCAGGAACGATAGCATTTTTCCATCACTTATGTCAGCCCGGCACTGCCCAAATAACGCTCGAGCAAAAACCTCAAATTGGAATCATCTGTTTTAATCTCTGATTTTAACGTAGATTTAAGGTCATTTAAAAGATGAATGGAATGGAAAAAAACATTATCTGTAAAGTTGGATTAAATAGTTATAATGGATTTGTATTTTTATTGTGTCCCATATCTACCAGCTACTAAGAAGATAGCTGATATATATATATCAAATTACATCTAGCAATACGTAAGCTAACATTTCTCATTTCTAATTTCAAATAACACTTGTCCTGGATAATTGCATTATATTTTTTGGTTATTCACTCATTCATTGGGATCAACATTTAACTGTCTTGAAGTACTGCAGCCTTGTGAGTTTAATAGCCTGAAACGTGAGCGGATGTGAGGGTGAGGAAAATGTAATTTAAAATGAACAATGTTTTCTTTGAAAATAATAGAAGACGACAGCGTTTAGCCACATGTGCTGGGATTACTGCAGATAAAAAGCTGAGTCAGGGTAAAAGTAGTTAGTTGTGGACATTCTCTCTCGCAGGAGACATTCAACATGTTGGTGAGACTAAATCAGTGTATGGACGTGTGTCTCTGTGATGACAGTATTCTGTTGCTGAGAATAGCTTCAAATAAACAGTTTTCTCTTTGGTTTCTCCAGCGTTACCTGTGGGGAACGGATATAACGGAAACAAACCCCCGATCCATCCAGTCAGCTGGCCCCAGGAAGAGAAGAAACCCCAAACAATGATGCCTATCAGCATCGACCCGGAGAGTAAACCGGGCGAGTACGTCCTCAAAAGCTTGTTTGCTAATTTCACCACCACCTCTGAACACAAGATCTGCATCATCATGGCTGAGCCTCTGGTGAGTTTGACCACAAACGCTTGGTGTTAGCGAGACGAAATGAGCAGCTGTCAAAGACAGTAACTCAAAAAAGTAGAGCAGCTGTCAAAGACAGTAACTCAAACAACAACACACAACAGGGCAGACTTTATATAGCTACATATAGCTACAGCCGCTGCAATGAATTCCATGTATTTTATGTAATATTATAGAAATCCTTTATGTCACAGCTGTAGTGAATGATAGACCCAAAATCTGGTGTAGTAGAGACAAAACCAGAAGGCTGAGAAGGTCAAAGACATAAGTCATAGTCGGGGACAGAAGAAGGTGCCCGTCAATTGACAGAGTACCAAAATACCAGTTCGTAATCCAAAAATCACTGACAGTCAGTCATAAAAATGTTCTGGAAAATTGATTTCCTCTTTTGATACTGTGTTTACAGGAAAAACCTTTAACAAAGTCACTACAGAGAGGAGAAGATCCTCAGTTTGACCAAGTGAGTACTCAATGTTTCATACAATGAAAAGTTTCTTGTGTTTTTTGTATTATCTTTCGCAATTGGTAATTTAAAAAATCCACCAGATTTTCTGAGTTTTCAATAATTTATTACATTTTTTTTTCTTGTTTTTTCTACTGCCCGCATAAATGTATGTCTATTTCTTATGTCTATGCCCTGGAATAAGAAGGGGCTAGAAGTTAAAACCTCTGCTCACGTGGCCTTCAGGGTCTCTCAGAGCCAGTCAAGGGGGTCGTCTTTACCTTGACACCTGGCACTGACTCGGCAGTATAGGTGTGTCCAGCAGCAGGTCTGTAGAGGAGGCTTGTTACACAGCCACAGGGGTGTGTTTGTGCTGCCACTGCTGCAGCTGAGTGAGGCCATTCAGCAGCCACACAGAGGCAGGATTCTTACTCAACCTCGTCCTGAGTGAAGGACTCGCTGTGTTCCCTGGCCCAACCAGACTCCCCTCCCTTCCTGTGTGCCCTGCCCCTTCCTTCCTCTCCTTGCCCTCTTACAGCATCAAGGGAGGCTGCCTTGTGAACAGTGTCAGTAGGGACCAACAACCACATTTCTCTAGCTCTGCACCAGAAAAGCACCAGTGTTTGTCACAACTGTGTGATGCTACTGTGACTACACAAGTTTATTTATTCACAAATACACATTTCTGTATGTATGCAACTATCAACACCTATATTTAATTACTGCTTTTAACAAGTTAATTCCTAGCTGCATAAAAGCTCCTAAAAAGACTTTTTTTTAAATCATTGTTGTTGTTGATACCAATATTGTCAAATGATTAAAACTTTAAATCTAAAAAAATGTAGGGTTGCTGTGGATCAGTCATGATTAATTGTGGTCATAATTGAGCATTATAAGTAATCATTAACCCAGATAAAATCATTAATTCCATAATATATATTTTTTCAGCATATGGCTAGGACAGAAAGATAATTAACAGCAGCAGATGTTTCTGTTCTTATTTCTGACCGATCCAAATGATATAATTGTTAATATGTGAACATGTAAATAACGTGTCTAATGACTTTGTATCAAGAGCAAATATATAAGTGATACATATATATATAAATACAAATTGATGGTGGAAATATTGGATATACTAGTATAAGAAATGTTGTGATTACCATCTCGTTGGTGCAGGTATGTTCATTTCTGTTGTCACAATAGTTATTTACACATATATGCTGTACATTTTGCAGTTGATAAGCACCATGAGCTCTTTGGCTGAGTACTGTCTACCCTCCATCCTGCGCACCTTGTTTGACTGGTACAGAAGACAAAACGGGCTGGAGGAGGAGCTGCACGAGTACCGTCCCCGAGCCAGCACCAAGTCCAAAACGTTAGAATTCTAGTGTTTTCTTTACTGCACATTCCTGACAGAGCTGGTGTACTCTATATGCTTGGGGCAAACCTGTTTCTTTTGTTTGTTTGTTTTCTCCATAGTGATGAACAGCAAAAAGATTATCTACTTGAAAGGAGAGATTTAGCCATTGACTTCATTTTTTCCCTTGTACTAATAGAAGTTTTGAAGCAGGTGATTTGATGTCATTCCCATGACTTTTTGATCTCCTTGTTATATAAATAATATCATGAAAGCTAAATGAAAATACAGCATCATGTGAAAAATCTCTTGTGCAATTTAATTAAATTTTTTATTTATTATTATTTTTGGAGCAGATGCCGCTCCATCCAGTCCTGGACAGTTTGGTTAATGACATCATTAACCTTGCCTTTAAGCACTTTAAATACAAAGAGAGGTACGGAGAAAATGTCATTTTTAAATTCTGATTTTCTGAGTTTCTTGTCTCATTCTTCACTTCTGTTGCATTTTCCACAGGTATCATGGTCCTAACACGGGCAACATGAATACTGTAGCAGACCTCTATGCTGAAGTAATAGGAGTATTAGCACAGTCCAAGTAAGTCAATCTAAGCCACGCCACAACAGCCATGTTGGATTAATTATAAAAAAGAAAAAAAAACAAGTAATTAAATTGTGTTTTATGTCTAAAATATATATATATATTTGTATTGAACTGATGAAACATATACAGAACGTAACATGAGAGTGGAGAAGAATAGAACAACTGTAGAAGAATAACAAGCTTCTTAACTTCCATTACCTACAATTTTGAAAACAGAAAAAACAGAATACATTTATTACATGTCCCTTCATTTCCCTTCTTTCCCCTTAAGGTTTCCTGCTGTGAAGAAAAAGTTCATGTCTGAGCTTAAAGAACTGCGGCAGAAAGAGCAGAGTCCATTTGTAGTCCAGTCCACCATCAGCCTCATCATGGGAGTCAAGTTCTTCAGAGTTAAGATGTACCCGGTTGAGGACTTTGAAGCTTCCTTTCTGTTCATGCAGGTACAACAGACTTCAGTTACTTAATATTCCAATTATTTTGCTGTAGTAATGAGTAATAATGATTTATCATTTATGTTAATGTTAATTGTTTTTATTTCATGACCAGCCTCACAGATACCGCAAGCTTTTTGTTATTTGAAAGATTTCACAGATATAAATGAAAACAATCGTCCAACAGTTGTTTAAAAAGGAAGAACATGATATATGTCCAATACTGGTCCAAATTCCATACCTATCAGTATCGGCAGATACTCATAGTTGCAGTATTCGTACTGGAAATGAAAAAACTGTGTCGTAACATCCCTTTAATTGTATGCAATAGTCTGTTATCGAAATAATCTTAATTATGTGCTGAACAATTGTTCTCCCTATTTCTTCTAGGAATGTGCTCAGTATTTCCTGGAAGTCAAGGACAAGGACATTAAACACGCTTTGGCCGGTCTCTTTGTCGAAATTTTGGTTCCTGTCGCAGCAGTAAGTTTTTTATACGTACTTGTGTGCAGTACTGAGAGGACGTCACGTCATAAAAAAATGAGGCGTCACAATATTGTGTGTGTGGATCTTTTCCAGGCTGTAAAGAATGAGGTGAATGTGCCCTGCCTGAGGAACTTTGTGGACACCCTGTATGACACAAGCCTGGACTTGTCCTCAAGAAAAAAACACTCACTGGTTAGTTAGCAAGTTACTTACCCACATTCACGCTTTCACTCGCCTGAACACTCGTACAGCTTACATCATTTTGAATTCTCCGATATTTTATGGTCACTTTTGTCCTAAATGCCTTTTGTAATAAGTAAAAATTATTTATTTGTAAAAAAAAAACACTTTATGAGAAAGTCAGGTGCGGCAGAAAAGTATGTGAGGGTGTTGCTGACATGTTTAAGGACAACAAGACAGGAGGAAAGCATGGTTGACAGAGGTGTGGGTTTATCAGAGACCAGCTTTGAGCCCCTGTGGACAGATGAGGTCAGGCAGGAGGCTCCATGGACCATGATGTTTGCAGATGATATTGTTATCTGTCTCTCTGTATTTTACACCAGTATTTTCCTTGATTGTTTTGTTGAGTGATTTAAACCCTCTCTCCTTTATACAGGCTTTCTATCCACTGGTGACCTGTTTGCTGTGTGTTAGCCAGAAACAGTTCTTCCTCAACAGATGGCACATCTTCCTTAACAACTGCCTCTCAAATCTAAAGGTAAACACGATATGCAACTTCCTTCGGAGTTCTCTGCAACATACATCAATATTAAATGTATTTTTGTCCAATAATATCCACACTAGTGGAGCATGTCTGTAGCATTTTTGACTATTTAATCTGATGACATTGTTCTATGGGACACTAATATTAAATGCTCTGGCATTTGCTCTGCTGAAGTCAAAACTGTTTCCATAACTAGACATACAGTAGCTAACTTCATGACAGGCTACATTGCTTAGTGCTTAGTGTTGACAAACACAGAATATTAATTTGATATAATGGGACTGTTAGAGCTCCCTAACAAAGTATAGTCGCTAAGTCGCTAAGAGGAATAAGCAAACCCCACAATGAAGTGTCTTCCTGCCACATGTACCATCGTGTTTTTGCTGTTACGACAGAGTCGGGATCCTAAAATGGCTCGTGTTGCACTGGAGTCCCTGTATCGACTGCTGTGGGTCTACATGATCAGGATAAAGTGTGAGAGCAACACCGCAACACAAGGGTAAATATCCTGAGCCTGTACCTCGTCTAAATATAGACTTCCTCATGAGCTCTACCGATAATGAAGAAACATGTTTGTGCCTGAGGAAAAAAATTGGTTTCATGTGAACAAGAAGAACTCATTGCTTCATCAAAAGTTTGTCTTCAGTTTGTAGATGGTTTCTCATTCAAAACAATAGTTTTAACATTACATTTTCTTCGGTGTCTGAATGTATTGTTTTAAAACAGAGAAATATTTTGACATGTCCCATTTGTATCTTCTTATTTGTCCACAGTCGCCTCAACACCATTATAACAACGCTTTTCCCCAAAGGATCCCGTAGTGTCGTACCAAGAGACATGCCTCTCAATATCTTTGTCAAAATCATTCAGTTTATAGCACAGGTAAATATAAGTACAGTACATTCTTGGCAAAGATACATTATAATAATAATAGTTCTGTAATAATGTTAATGAAGAAATAACATTGGAAATATTTGTTTTTCTTTTCAAGGAAAGACTTGACTTCGCCATGAAAGAAATTATATTTGACCTTCTTTGTGTTGGAAAGTTATCCAAAGCATTTAGTCTTAATCCAGAGGTATGTACGTATGCTACAAAGTATAGTCGCTAAACTGGACTGAACTGAACTAAACTGGACTGGACTGGACAAACAAATTAATTTGGTTCTCCTCTGTCCAGAGAATGAATATTGGTTTAAGAGCATTCCTGGTCATTGCTGACAAGCTGCAGCAGAAAGACGGAGACCCGCCAATGCCAAACACTGGTTGCACTTTGCCCTCTGGAAACACACTTAGAGCCAAAAAGACGTATCTAAGTAAAACACTGACAGATGAGGAGGCCAAAGATATTGGTGAGTTTGATATTTAAAAAAAACATGTCAGCATACCTATCAGTAGCTACATCTTTAATATGTGTTGTTCTTTGTCCAGGGATGTCACAGTATTATAACAATGTCAGAAAGGCTGCTGACAACATCCTCAGACATCTGGACAAGGACGTGGGACGCTGCATGATGATGACAAACACTCAGATGCTAAACAAGGAGCCTGAGGACATGATCACGTAAGTATGCACCAAAACCAGGAAACGGCTGGATGTCAGAGTAAAAAGGCCTTTAAAATGAGAGAAAAGAACACAGTATTCTTGACTGATGATTGAATGAATTAAAGTGGTCATGTATTCAAGGGGTTTGAATGGTCACACAATATGTTTTTTGTGTAATTGTCTTCGTACATTAATAAAACTATAGTACAAATATGACAATTATTTATTATGTGGTCAGTGGTGACGTCTGTGCTTTAAACCTCTGTAGGGTGTGGTCACCTCAACGATGGCAGTCGTTAGTCTGGCTCAAACTGGTTCTCAGTTGTTGGACTATGTCTATGTAGGTTCTTAGTCTTCCAGGCCATTTTATTCCAAGCAGTTCCAGTAAGTAGAGGGCATTTGGGTTTTCTTTGTTCCTTGAAGATGTTCCACTGGTCATCCAGTAAGCTTTTTCAGTTCTGACTGCTGTAAAAATGCTGGTATTTAGGCTCAGAGTGGCTGAATTCCTGAAAATAGAGTTAAGCGTCATAGCAGTAAAAAGGAGGCGACCGCACCCTGACTTAATGGCAGGAATGTCGTGATCGTCAGGCAGAGGTGTGAATGGGAGCCTGTGTGAGTCACATGGGAGGTTGGTACCACCTGAGGGACCCGGTTGGCTGAACTCAGGACAACCCTGTAAGTGGCTGAAAGATGATGACTTAATCCACCTGCTCTGTTGAGTGATGGTTTCTCCAGGTTGACCTAGATGGCGCCCTTTACTCCCCTCTCTAATCCATCTAGCCACAAGGTTAGGGCATAATTTGCCCTTTGACCTGAAGGTGAACAGTTGAGTCCTGCATGACAGATCTCTGCCTGATTAGAACCATGATCAGGATGAACCAGAATCTACACATACATTAGACTTAGCCTAAAAAAGTTGTATATTATTAAACATAATTCAGCAGTGTACACTCTCTCTATCTAAAATAATTCAACAAAACTATTGTATATTTTTACCTTTTTAGGGGTGAAAGGAAGCCCAAGATTGACCTGTTCAGGACCTGTGTTGCAGCCATTCCTCGTGTCCTGCCTGATGGGATGTCGAAGCCAGACCTGATCGACCTGCTTTCTCGGTGGGTCATATTTCATAAAGACGACGGCTTGTTTGATTATATGATGATGCAATGTATGAGCCATCACGTGTTGTTAATCTTTTTTTTAAAAATAGTCCAGGAGTTCTAGTCAAGGATGTATCACATTCTATAAACCTGTTTTTATGTTTTGGTTTTCATAATTTTACATGAATGACTCCTGACTTGAACTGATAAAACTGAAGCGTTCTGTTACAACCTGTGTTACACTGGGTTATATTAATGAAATGCTTTGTCTTTTCATACAGATTAACAATTCACATGGATGATGAGCTGCGACTCATAGCCCAGAATTCTCTGCAAAGTCTGCTGGTGGATTTCGCCAATTGGCGTGACGACGTCCTGTTCGGATTCACTAATTTCCTTTTACACGAAGTGCATGACACTCACTGGGAATTGTTGGATACCTCGCTTAAATTACTGCTGCAACTGCTCACTCAGTGGAAACTTACCCAGACTGCCCGAGGGAAGAGCTATGACACCGCTAAGATACACAACGCCGAGGTACACTCCTTTGTGTCACTTATGTATTTCTGTTTAGTTTCAGCGCTTTAGTTTACTCAACGCTCTCGTCTGCTTTACCAAGGAGGCCGGGGCCACATTTACAGCTAAGGTTTGAAAAAGGTTTTAGACTAAGTAATTACTATAAAACACACAGGTGTAGTATACTACAATGGTGAAAAATGAACTATGTATGTGTTGGTAAAAAAAAAAAGGTGTACATAAAAAAGCTTATTAAAAAACTTGTCTGTTAAACAAAATGATTGCAATAATTATGAACAAAATTATTAAGACAAATAGAACAGCCCATAAGGACAATGTTGGAAAAATATTTATTAAATGTAGCTAAACATATCTAATCTAAAGTTGTAACTGGAAATAAAGCAATAATAATAATTATAATTATAATTATAATAGAGACTCAAGCCTAAAACCAAAAATTAAATAAAGAATAATCTCTGACAGAATAGTAAACAGTGTGTAGCGTGTCATAGTTTTGGACCTGTCTTAAATTAAATATGCCATATTATACGTATGCATGTGTAAAACTCTGTTTTCGTCATACTTGTTGCAGACCAGCTCACACCCCAAAGTACCTGCGGAGCGAGGTCCTCACTCCACTGTGCTCCACGCTGTAGAGGGACTGGCTCTGGTCCTGCTCTGCTCCTGTCAGCTCAGCACCCGCAAACTTGCCATTGCTCTGCTTAAAGAGATACGAAGCCTCTTTGTGACCGTTGGACAGACTGAGGTATGAGGAAGATGACTGCAGTGGAACGTTTCAGAGACTCACAGAGTGTCAACTTGTCTTTGTTAATTGCAGGATGATGAAAAACCAATGATAGACGTCATGGATCAGCTCAGTCCTGTAATCATGGACAGTTTTGTCAACATTGCAGTGTCTGATACAGTAAGTCGGAGGTTCTCTAAACTGAGTCAACAAACTTCACCAAAGATTAGGATGTACAAGATAATATTAAATGAAGTGGTACACAATAAATGTACAGGGGCTCAAATCCTGTGCTGTTTTCTTGCTTGTTTTCAGGCTGCACTGCCATCTGGCCTCCATGTTGACCTGCAGTGGCTCGTGGAATGGAACGCCATCCTGGTCAACAGCCATAATGACATCAGGAGCCCCTCACATGTGTGGATCTTTGCCCAGTCAGCGAAGGACCCGTGGGTGCTGTGTCTGTACAGCCTTCTTCGACAGGATCACCTGCCTAAACATTGTCCAACAGCCCTGAGCTTTGCTTGGCCTTACGCCTTCACACGGATGCAGGCGCTTATGCCTTTGATAGACCCGAAGTGAGTGTCACTGCTGATTTTTACATCTGTGTCTAGTGTATGTAATGTAATGTAATGTGTTGTTTTTCGTGGCCACAGTTTGTAGCGCAAAACATCACCCCCAAAAAGTGCCCTTATAAACTGAATAATATTTTCTTTTAAAACATTTCCCAAGTAACCCCGTGTATGCAAAGAAGACCAGCACCTCAGGCAGTGGAGACAGCTACGTCAACTTGTGGAGGAACTACTTGATCCTGTGCTTCGGTTTGGCTAAGCCCAGTATCATGAGCCCAGGCCACCTGAGAGCATCGACACCAGAGATCCCCGGGCCTGCTGTGTGTGACACTAGTGTCAGCTACGACAACAAGGTGCCTGCCTCCTTTTGACTTATTAATTCCTCCCTTGTCCCCAGGATCAGGTGTTCATACACAGCTTGTTGACATTTAAACTCACGGCATCAAATGACATAGAAGCTATTGTATCTTTGCATGAATGGAACGGGGGCGCTGAGCTATTGTATCTTTGCATGAATGGAACAGGGGGGGGTTAGATGTTCTTCTATGCACGGACAAATATCTCGGTGCAGCACCGTTTAATTATTTTATGTCGTATCCTCGGAGGGAAACATGTGTATGTGTGCCTAACCGAGTGTACTGCATGTGTGTGTTTTGTTTCAGGTTGTCGGGAGCCCATCTGTGTCCTGGCTTCTAAAGCAGTTGGTTCCACTGATGAGGGCAGAGAGCATGGAGTTGGGGGAATCATTAGTGCTGGGCTTTGGTCGAGCCAATGCCCTGGTGTTTAGGTACAACAAAGAACCACAGATCTCATATAAGAAAATGAACTGGGAAAAAGAATTTGTAGAGACGACATTGAACTAAACATTAAACGGATAAAATGCCTGATCTCTAAACCTTATGATAAGTTTGACTGTGCTGCATTTTTAGTTGTATTTATTGGAATGAATCGGAATTGAATTCTTTATATTTTTGGCCTTCTCTCTGAAAGGGAACTTGTGGAGGAGCTCCGTCCTCTGATGAAAGAGGCCCTTGACAGAAGGCCTGAGGTTGGTAAATGATACTTGTGTTCACCTCCAACGATGCAACATTGTTATTGTGCATCTGTAATGTCAGAGTCTTTGCCATAAATCTGGCCTGGGAGAGAAAAGGCAATAAAGGCACTCCTACTCCTCTGTTCCTTGCATTACTTTGGTGGCAAGGTGTAACATTAGCATCACTTGTATATTCAAACGTTAGAGTTGAAAATTTGATAGAAGCTTCTAGTACCAGTACAGTTGACTCACGCTGCCAGTAAGTTATTATTCCCATCTATGTTGGATTCATTATTCAAAAAAAGGATTATGTTTTACCCATAGGTTGTGAATTATGTTATCTAGCAACATATTATGTGACTGGTCGCTAAAAATGTCCTGAATTCAACAGAAAATATTTAAGGGATCGTGGGATAAAAGCAATCTTAGCCAGTAAAAGGATGCAAATGCAAAATGTATCCAAAATATTTTTGGGTAACAGTAAGCCAAATACTAAAAAGGTTGATTTGTCAAACTGTTGACTTCTACTGCTGCAATAACAGATCAAGATGATGAAGCCCCTGCCCCCCAAAAAATGATTAATAGATGACAAAACTGTAAACATTATTTTAAAATGCTCTTTCTAATTTAGAACAAAAAGCGCAGAGAGCGGCGGGATTTGCTCCGACTGCAGTTGCTGCGAATCTTTGAGCTGTTGGCTGATGCAGGTGTTGTCAGTGACAGGTAAGTTATCACAACACCCAAGATTTAACATGTTGGAAATGACCATGGTCTTAAATCATAATGATGATTTTTGTGATATGATTTTTCCTAACATTTCCCTCTCTGTATTCTCTCAGTACAAACGGAGCCCTTGAACGTGACACCCTTGCTCTGGGTGCATTGTTCCTGGAGTATGTGGATCAAACCCGGATGCTTTTGGAAGCAGAGAATGACAAAGATGCTGAGATCCTCAAGGACATCCGAGCTCACTTCAGCGCCACAGTGGCTAACCTCATTCAGTGTGTGCCAGGTATTAAAGATGAACCAGCTCAAAGGTTCTATTCTCATGTACAACAGCAGCCCATTGTATGGCCCAGGACTCTTAGCTTTAATCTTAAATCTGACAGGCCCACAGGGACCACAACCAAAATGTTGTGCCACCTGAGGACAGAGTATTTGATGACATATGAGTTGCAAACATAAACAAGTCTCCGTTAACTGGGGAATAATCTGTCACTGCTGCTGCTTTGGAAAATACGTTGTCTGATTAAGCCTAGTTAGGAGTTAATGGGATCACAAAACGCTGACTCGTTTCTCTCTAAGGGAAATCAATTATCTCCCTTTCCAGTGCACCACAGGCGCTTCCTGTTTCCACAACAGAGCCTGCGACATCATCTCTTTATCCTCTTCAGTCAATGGGCCGGTCCATTCAGCATCATGTTCACCCCTTTAGACCGGTACACTGCCAAAAATCAGCAGATCACCAGATACCAGTACTGTGCCCTGAAGGTAAATTTCTTTACAATGTCTTGTAAAAGTTTTTTTGAACAGTGTTTTGCTATTTGTCTACATTTTATCCTGTTTAATGGTGGTTCCACAGTGTAGTGGTTAACAAGCCTGCTTACTCATCTGCCTTACATGCAGTAGGTCCTGGGTTCGAGCCCCAAAGGAACCACATAGAGTACTTGGCACCTCCTGTTGGGCATCCTGATTCAACAGATCTGCTGTTAACACAACAATTTCTTCATTTTGCAATCAATACACTTCCCAATATTATATTATTAATAAATCATCCTGAACCAATCAGAAGCTTTGATTTAGTAACATGTTCCCACACAATGATTAGATTAGAAAAATTTAATCACATACCGTAATTATTGAAATGTTGTATTTTGCTGGATTCATTGTTACTGTTCAGTAAAGACATTACATTACAGGCTAACACATATTGGTCTGTTGCAATGATCATGTGCAGGTGAAAAAACTCAGACATCATTTTATGTGTTTTATGGTTGACCTTCCAGGCCATGTCTGCTGTACTGTGCTGCGGACCTGTGTTTGATAACACCGGCCTCTCTCCAGACGGATACCTCTACAAATGGCTTGATAATATACTGGCCTGCCAGGATCAGCGGGTATGTACTGTAGCCAAAGCATTAGCTCTCGGTTGCTTTTAAGCTTAGACACAACCTATGAAGCCCAACACGTGGCTCATCAAAGCTTGTTTCACAGAGTAACATTTGATGTTGGCATTCACCGTCGAGCAGAAGTTGAATTGTCTGCCTGAAATTAATCATTGTAATTAATTAGAAGCCTGTCTTTTCAACCACTAATTGTCTAGTAATTAAAAAAATACTCCTAAGTAATAAGACAATTAACGATCACCTGTGTTGGCATGTGTTTCTGGCTCAGGTCCACCTGCTTGGCTGTGAAGTCGTGATTTTGCTCTTGGAACTCAATCCTGACCAGAACAACCTGTTGAAGTGGGCTGTGGATCGCTGCTACACAGGATCTTACCAGCTCGCCTCAGGATGCTTCAAAGCCATTGCTACAGTCTGTAGCGGCAGGTTAGGAGTTAAACTGTCTTTATAAAATTTTTAAAAATTATTATTATTATTATTATTATCAGGGTTCACAGTGTCTGGTAAGATTACTGGTTTCATTTTAGAATTTTTATTTTAATTATTTTTTTCTCGAGCAGAAACTCACAGAGTGACATTGTGACTCTGCTCAGTCTGGTGCTCTTCAAAGCCTCAGACAGCAACAGAGACATTTACGAGATTTCCATGCAGCTAATGCAGGTAAGACCCACCACTGCTGCCGTTCTGCTGTTTAGCTCGGCTGGTTCTGTTCTTGCTGAAGGTGACAGAATCCTCTTTTTTGTGCAGATCCTTGAAGCTAGATTGCTGCTGTACTGTAAGGAGATCACTGAGCAAAAGCCAAACAGTATCTTACACGGCACCCATGGTCCTCTGCCCCCCCTCTACACTGTCTCTCTGCCTCAGTTGTCGAGCCAGCTGGCTCGGATGTACCCTGAACTCACACTTCCTCTCTTTTCAGGTCAATACTTCTTTTATGTACATTTGTATACATGTGTTTATGTGTGTGCGTGTGTTTGGTTGTGTGTGTTTGGCTGCAGTTGGGTTAGCCACAGCATTTAGGTCTCCTTTAATACCCTCACGGGCTTGTCATCTTCTTGTGGTTTTCTGCTAAATACAACCTCTTTCTCTCCCGTTGGACTATTTTCCTACACACTTACAGCAATAGATAGCACAGACACTCCCACTATCCACATACACACTTAAGTTTGAGTGGAATTTATATATGGATCAGATTAAACTGATGGTTATGGTGAAAGTCAGGATGGAGTATGTGTTTGATTTTGCTTACAGTATGTAAACCACAACACCCTCTGATGTTAATACTGCCTTCCCCTATACTTTTTTTTTCCAGAGGTTAGCCAAAGGTTTCCCACAACTCACCCCAATGGGAGGCAAATAATGCTAACCTTTCTGCTTCCGTGGCTCAGTAACATTGAGCTTGTGGATGCTGGCCTGCTGCTTCCAGTTTTTACACCATACGTTCTATCAGATCAGGAGGCGTCCAGTCAAATGTCAAGCCTCGAGGCAACTCACCAGCTAAAAGGCAATGGTTGGGGCTCCCTTCAGGCCACAACCTTGGTCCTCAATAACCTGATGTTCATGACTGCCAAGGTAAATCCATGTTAGATACGTAATGAATCAAAGCATGAGTTTTTGTTTAATGTGATTTTTGATTTTCAGTATGGAGATGAACTGCCTGGATCTGAAATGGAAAACGTCTGGAATGCATTAGTGAGCAACGAAAAGTGGAGCAACAATCTGAGAACAACTCTACAATTTCTCATCAGCTTATGTGGTGTCAGTAGTGACACCACTCTGCTGCCATATGTAAGCTATAGTCTATCATTAGCAGCCTGTATAGAACTAGTTAACATGTATCATGAGTTAACCGGGCCATTGAGGTCAACATTAAGTACAGGTCTAAACCAGTGCATCATCAGATACAATTTTTAAAAACTACATTTTGAGAAGGAACATCTCACATAATTACTAAGCATGAAAGAATCCTGGTCATCCAAATTAAAGACCATCTCTGCATACAACTTCCTCCAAGTCTGTGCAGTATTTTTGCCTCAAATGTACTGTAAGAAAAACTTCCTATGGGGAGTCTTGAAGTTCACTCAATTTGTGTGCACTACCACTATTGGCCAGTAGAGGCTTAAACTGAAGAACTCCCAGAACCCAAAACAAGTCGGAAATAGTTTAAATGACATTATAGTCCTCTCTGTTGTGCAGACAGGTACAATTATATGTATAATAAATACAAACTCAATTAAAAATATAAATGAATTGTAGAAAAGGGGAATTTTGACCACTATTGCTACTACATCTGCCACTCCTTCCAGTTCTTTGCTCTAATATAGTGATGGTTTTCCTTTTTTCAGATCAAGAAAGTGGTAATCTATCTGTGTCGGAATAACGCAACACAAACCATGGAGGAGTTGATTTTTGAGCTGCAGCAGACTGATCCGGTCAACCCTGTGGTGCAGCACTGTGATAGCACTCCTTTCTACAAGTTTACAGCCACAAGCAAAGCTGGAGCAACAATAGGTACAACCCAGCAGAATATATTCAGATATAGTTCTGAATGTAAAAGAGTGCTGCTGTTAAAAATCATGCTCAAAGGACTTTTCCTTTAAATATACTTTTAATGATGAGCTCCTCCGTGGCTCACTTCCAGGCACCTCAACAAGCAGCAGTACAGTGGTTGTGGGTCAGGAGAGCTTTCCAGACACCGATGACACCAAAACGGTTAAGGATAATGAGGAGAGGTAAAGTAAATGCTGATTAATTACACTATGTTATGATCTGTGCCAAACATAACACTTCATCTGATCTCAGGCTTAGCCACAAAATGCTAGCACACCACTCCCTGGAGTCACGCTTCAGCACCAGCTCGACAGGCTCCTACGACGGCGAAAAGAGTGAGTATTATTATCCAAATACTTTTACTAAAGTGAAACATGTTTAACTAGAACAATGTTTTTCTAAAACATTCAGGCGAACCCTTACCTCCATATGTTGACTGGCTAACGGTTGTTGCTGAGACCAACCAACCTCATCCACTACCAATGCCTGTGAATGGAGGATACTGGGCTCCTCTGGTGGACTTCCTGCCAGAGACCATCACTCCTAGAGGACCACTACACAGGTTTGACTTCTGCCGAGTCACTCAGCTGACTATAGGGTTTATTTTTACATATATTTACATATATTTACTTTTTGGATCAATTGTTCCAGGTGTAATGTGGCAGTGATCTTCATGACAGAGATGGTAGTGGACCACAGTGTTAGAGAAGACTGGGCAGTCCACCTGCCTTTGCTGCTACATGCCTTATTTTTGGGTAAGAATACTCTGATAAATTAGCTTATTTATTTATGTTTTAGAGTATAATATGAAACAAAACATTTTTTGACATGTCCTCACAATTCAACATTCATTTTTATACAACTTTCATAGCTTTTATTTGACTCACTTCTTTTCCTCAGGAATGGATCACTACCGGCCAGAGGTTTATGAACACGGCAAACGTCTCCTTCTCCACCTGCTCATCACACTGTCCTGCAATAACAACCTGAAGGCCATCGCCTCCGTCCTACTGCAGACTCATAATATCAACGACATCAAGACCCTTACCTGCAAACAGAGCATTCAGCTGGACTTTTTACCCAACGGTAAAACAATGTCTTGATGTCACATACATAAACACGATGCTCTTTCTTCTATCAGCCCCACCTGTCAGAGCTGGCTGGGATTTGACTTCAGATCCTTTGTTTTCATATTAAAACATCCAGGGAGAGGCAAACATTGTTTTACACAATGGAAATCCAAGTTTCTTATCAGGGTGGGGGTGTGGGAGATGTGGTGCATTAAAGAAACCCAAACCAGAGAAGTCATCAAAGGTCTTGATGAAAGCATTCTATTCTGCTGTCTTCATCCCTTTGCCCAATATGGGATCTTCTGTACACGCCCAGATAGTAGTGAGTAGTGCACAAAAAATAGTGTGCATCAAATCTAGTTGGTTAGGACAGAATTCTTACCATAAATAATGCGTTTTCATATCAAACTCTATGCAAACCTGCACAGTTTATGCTTCTTTTCCATCACTGGTTTTAACAAATTAAAACATGATCATTTCTTTTTTTTCTTTTCCACAGGAGGTTTTGATTTCCTGCCCGAGTGTCATTCATCTAATTTCCCAGACTCAGGTCTGAGCTCTTCTCTGACATTGTCCAGTCTGAGCCTCATTGGCAGCAGCAGCAGCAGCAACCTGTCTGAGATCTCACAGGAGGTGGAGATGCTTGTTGCCTCGAGTAAAATGGATGAAAAGACATACAAACTCATTGAGTTTTTATCAACAAGGTACTGCCGTTGTGATTTCCTAAAAACTTTATGAAGTGCAAGTCTGAAAAGCAGACAACGTTCAATAATAAATAAACTAAATTTAGTTTAGTAAATCTATTCTGACTCTTTACTTTGTTTGCGTGTACCTTATGGTAAACCGGTGCTGTCGTTTTCTAGAGCAAATGGGCCACTGTGGTGCCATGAAGACATTTCACCAAAGAACCACATTCCAAAGAGCACTGTCCAGCTGACAAACTTTCTCCAGTATGTGGTATCAGTGTTCAAAGACACTAAGTCAGGTAGTTATGTTTATTATTATCATCATTACTATCCCCAGATATAGAGAAACTGTGCCGACCTTTGACATGTAACTTTCTCTCACTGTCAACCCTTTGCCTCCGCTCCGTCAGGTTTCTACCTGGAGCAGCAGCTCAGCGGCGTGGCTCTGCAGACAGCTCTGTGCAGCTCATCACGTCACTACGCTGGCCGTTCTTTCCAGATATTCAGAGCCCTGCAGCAGCCGATCTCTGCCCGAGCTGTGTCTGACCTGCTGTCCAGGCTGGTGGAGGTAGTTGGTGAAAATGGAGAAGAAGTACAGGTTGGTGGAGTGTTGTTCAAAACAAATTCTGACACTAATACAAGTCTGTATGACTGTAGCTGTTTTCCTCCTCTCACACAGGGCTACGTGATGGAAGTATTACACACACTGGAATCCGTGGTGGACAATCTGGCTGAATGTTTAAAAAACAGCGACCTCATGGCTACCTTGTCAAGGTCTGTGACCTTTCTTTACTCAACAACATTTCTAGGTTCAGTTAAGGCTGAGACTTTCAATTTAGAACGTCCTCGAAATCTATTAACTTTGGTCTTATAGTTTGGAATGTTTTTTTTTTATTATAAAAAAACTATATATATTATTAATTTAGTTCTTTTTTTATTCCAGGGCATCATCTCCAGATTTCCTGACTAGCTTTAACCTGCTGTCCAACAGAAAAAGTGCAGGGCAGATTTGTCTTAGAAGGAATGACAAAAACAGACATCAGAGGAGCTCTTCTGTGCCCAAGAAGTTTGGAGGTGCCTCACGGTGGTCCGATCCCCCTCGCAGTGCTACACTGGAGTGCATTCAGGCCTGTGAGCAGCAGATTTCATCGGCCAAGACCTGCAGCTTGTCCTCATCCAAAGAAGGTGTCACAGACCCTAACAACATCAACCACCCGAGCAATCTGCTCGCCACCATCTTCTGGGTGGCGGTGTCGCTGATGGAGTCGGACTTTGAGTTTGAGTATCAGATGTCTCTGAGGCTCTTGAACAAACTGCTGAGCAACATGTCACTGGACAAAGAGGAGAACAGGGAGAAGCTTGAGAAGGTGCAGAGTCACCTGAAATGGAGCAGCTTCAGTGGACTCCAGCAGCTGCTCCTCAAAGGCTTCACTTCCATGTCCACCACTGACATCACACTGCAGCTCTTTAGCCAACTGACGCCTGTGTCACAAGAACTTGTAGTGGACACATCACAGGCCATAGGTACGTTTATGAATGTATGAGTATGAATGTCTGCCTGTAAATAGTTGTACTGGAAAAATAACGGGGAGATGAGATGAGATGAGATGTTTAAAAAATGTCTGCTTGTTCCTTAAGGGTTTCCTTTGAATGTCCTTTGCCTTCTACCTCATCTGGTACAAAACTTTGACAACCCCACACAGTTCTGCCAAGATGTTGCTGAGAGGATTGCTCAGGTTTTACTCCATTCTCTTTTTAACTTCATATTTTATCTGTTGCCAAGATGATTATCAGGAGTTTTTAAGCCAACGTGACTCTGTGTAGGTTTGCCTGGAAGAGAAGAACACCAAGCTCTCCAACCTCGCCCACGTCATGACTCTGTATAAAACCCACTCGTACACACGGGACTGCTTCTCCTGGGTCAACGTCGTGTGCCGATATCTGCACGAGGCCTTCTCAGAGATCACCCTCAGCCTGGTCACCTACATGGCAGAGGTTCGTGCGGCTGCCAAAGGTCGATCCTGTATTTTCTGAGCAATAATGTAAAGGTGGAAAAGATAAAAGACTGTGTTGTGTCTGTGTCTCAACAGCTGTTGGAGAAAGGTCTGCCCAATATGCAGCCAACCCTTCTACAAATCATCTACAGCCTTCTGAGTCACATGGACCTGTGCGGAGTTCAGGCCAAACCCTTCAACATTGAGGTTGTCAAGACGATTGAGAAGTTTGTCCAGGTGAGGATGGACTGAACATGGATTTTACTGCAGTCTGTAAAACAGTTCCACACTTTTGAATTGATAGAGAAAGATCACCATCTAAACCTAGCTATTACTATAACTCAGACCATACTGGCCATTAAAGTAAAATTTACGTTGGACTACAGTAAATTATAATCTTATACTGAATCGTAGAATTAGTCAAACTAATTATAGTGAACCGTATCCACAAAAAGTAACTTGAATCCTACTTGACCTACTGCAAAAACTAGTAAATCCCCCTGTTACTGCAGTGATAAATCTTTACAAATTAAATATTAACATATGTATTATTATTGTATTGTTGTTATTATCAACACATCGTCATGATAACTGTTTCCTAGCTTGAGAACAACCACATATTTTGCTACATTAAAAAGGTAGCTCTGAGCAGCCTTTCACACAGCCTAATGGCACCTCCAGACAAGCTCTGAAGTTTATCTGTAGCAGGTTATGTCACAGAAATAATTTGGATTTTGAAAAAGGAAGCTGAATATAATGTAATGGTTGGAAACCTTTAGCCAGCGTGCTCTGAGTAAGTCCTGTGTTCTCTGCTCTTTTCTCAAGTTTTCACAGAGAGGGAAAAAACGCTGTCATGTATCAGAGCAGTAAAGTTGTAGACACACCCAATCTATAAACAGTCTGCCTGGCTGCCTCAGGCCAAGTCTCTGCTTAGTCTCACACTGAATCTATTTTCCTTTAACGTGCTACTGTAAGGGATCTGTTAGAACACCTCTGTCCCTGTGAATGGATTGACATTCAAAGAAACACGTTCCTGTTTATCTCTTAGCACATGGTTTTCTGCTTCTTCTTTTTTTCTCCTTTCCATACTTTGCGTGTTTTGGTGCTTGAGGAAAGACGGTACATTGGAGGAAAGCACTTAATATCCTGAGGTTGGTGGTTTCTCGATCGGCCAGTTTGGTTCAACCTTCATCGCCGCATAGTGACCTCTGCTACGAGGACATCAGCCGAGCCTGGGACCGCTCCTCTAAGGCCTTGCCTGGGAAAACTCTGGATTTCCACTTTGACATATCAGAGGTAAGAGGCTTTTTTGTCTGATATGTTTTCAGTGGGTGAGAAAGTGACTTTTTCAGAGGTTCCAGCAGCATTAAGAGAGTGCTTCATGCTCTTTTGTGTTGGGCTGTTGTGTTTCTCTCTGCGTTTTCCAGGGTGTATTTCTGGAAAGCTTTAGGATGAAAATATTTCATTCCCCCTACTCAATGCTGATAGTTCTTTTCAGGTCTCTTGGGAGACTGATAGTTCAAAAGGCAAACACAATTAGACAAAGATGGTGAAACCTGAAAATGATGCCAAGCACACCATTCCACAGACAGAGTGTGTGGGAACTGAACACTGAGCTGTTTGTATGTCATGAATGGCAGGAAATGATGTCATCCTTTGCTGCCGTCTTTTGTATATGCGGCTCATTTGGTCGCATTGGCCAGCCAATAGGATGTGTATATAAACTGGAGACACACTGAACAAACCACAACAACATGTGTCCTCAAGTAGCACGGTGTATTTTTAGACAAGAAGACATGAAGGATTTTACTCGCATGCATTTATTATGTCAATAAAATACTGTAGCTGCTGTGGCAGCTGATACCAACACAGAAGTTCGTTCAGATACATTTCCTGAGTCTACACCAATTTTTTTTTAATTCATCAGACACCTGTGATCGGCCGCCGTTACAATGTTCTCCAGCACTCCACAAGTCCAGATGTGAAGAGCAGGAGCAGCACCGTGTCACGCAGCACCTCCTCCACCTCCTCTGGATCTTCAATCAGCAACGTCCTGGTGCCAGTCAGTTGGAAGAGGCCTCAGTCCTCGCAGGTGAGGGAGAAATCAATGCTATACACCTACAGACAAACCTACCCTCGTATATCCTACATCAACATTTTATACCACCACCGTCTGTAATCTTAACTGTGTTTCCTCTTTCCTTCTACAGAAAAGAACACGAGAGAAGTTGGTAAATGTCTTGTCTTTGTGTGGACAGGAAGTGGGGCTCAAGAAAAATCCTTCAGTAAGATAATATACACTCTACTCTGGACTTTCTCTCTAGACTTTTCACTTCATTTATTTCCTTTTATTATCATTCCTATTTTCCATATATCCAGTATTGCTTTATCTGTCTGACTGTGCCACCATGCTCCCCCTGCAGGTGATATTCTCCAGTTGTGGTGAGCTGGACCTAATGGAGCACCAGCCCAGTTTGGTGTCTTCTGATGATAGGATACAGGGGCCAGACAGCACTGACGACACAACCTCAGAGCAGCAGTTCAGAGTCTTTAGAGATTTTGACTTCTTGGATGTGGAGCTGGAAGATGGAGAGGTGAGGATTAAGACGCTTCAAACTGTACCTAAATTATTCACCCTTTGGCTGTACTCAACAGAAGTCAAAATCAGAAAAAAAAATCATTAGAACTAACAAGAAAAACCTGACTGCTTTGTGTAACAAAGTTTTTCTTTACTCTCTAAATTCTCCTTGCGATCTAGGAGCTACAGGTAAGAAAAGCTTCACACCTTCATTTGTTGTTGGTTTGAATGGAAAGTGAAATACAGCAGGTCAATAAAGGTGTCAGTAGGCTTCAGTAACAAATGAAAGCCCCAGAAGAATACAAAATAAAAGCAGCTCTGCTATCACAGAAATATACAGAAAGATGAGAAAGTCACAAGTTGACATCATAAGATCATAAGTTTTAAGTCATGTTTATTAATCATTTATATTTACTTAATTTGCAAAAGATTTTAAAATTTGGGCTGGTGATATTTTTATAGGAAATTTTCTCCACCTTAGTGCTGTTTAACTGTTTAAAAAAATATTATTATTTTAGTTTTTACACTGCATGTTTTTGCAAATGTGTGTTTGTGTTTACATTACAGAAGATTGTGTTTTGCTTTTTTTTTTTTTTTTTAAATCCATGGACATCTCTCTCTCTGCAGGGAGAGACAATGGACAACTTCAACTGGGGTGTGCGAAGACGCTCCATGGACAGTCTGGACCGAAGTGACCAGCTGCCTCTAGGGGAGAGTAAGCTGTCGAGCAGCATGCCCAGCCTCATCAGGATCGCCCACGAAGAGTCAGATGATTCATCAGAGGACGATCCCCTCACTGTCAGCCAGATACTGTCCCAATCACAGCTTGTAAGTTTGTCAGCTTTGCTTTAGGTAGAGGTGAGAGAAGGTAGCTGAAATTCATGCTCAGCCTAAGAACAGATACGTGAGCTAAAGCATTAGGGACAATTAGACCAAAAAAACTGCATGTGATGTCAATTCTTGAGAAGTCTGCACCATATTTTAACCTCCTAGGAAACATTTTTCACAAGGGAAAAATTCATTTACATTAACTTTTCCTCCTAGGAAACATTTTTCACAAGGGAAACTAAATTAGACCAAAAAAACTGCATGTGATGTTTTAATTTTCAAATTCAAAACAAATCCAAGCAGGGCCTGAAAGTTAGATGAACAGGCTGGAGTCATATCATGTCATAAAGCCAAAAATGTCAATTCTTGAGAAGTCTGCACCATATTTTAACCTCCTAGGAAACATTTTTCACAAGGGAAACTAAAAAACTATTTTCCTACTAGTCCGTGTTAGCTGTTACAATTCTGTTCTGTTCACGTTCATTCCTTTCTTTTCCTAGATTGTGAGCCTCTCTCCAACTGCAGAAAGCAGTAGCCTGGACTCTCCCTCTGCCATTTTTGACTCAAGTCCAGCTGACCCCATCCCTTTGAACTCCAAAAAACCTAGTTTCGAGGTCCAACTGCCAGAGGACTCGAAGCCGCGGGTGAATAAGGGCTTTAGGGTGTCTGAGATTCTGGGAGCTTCTAACTCCTATCGTAGTTCTTTACTAGATTTCTTCACTAATTTTGCCAAGTAGGAGCTGTTTGTTTGCGTATTTCTATGTGAGTTGTCTTGAATGTTTTACTACTACTTGTACGTGCTTTGGGTTCAGTCATACGGTGGCATTTTCTGTGTTTAGAGTAGAGCATGAGCCAATATTTCTTGATTTTTTTTTTTATTTTGTTTTTGCTGCATGCGAAAGGTGAATGGACTAAAACTGTTAAGCGGGAAATCCATAACACTTTGGGCCATGTGCTAGTTTGTGCCTGACAGTTAATGTCTATAGGGAAGTTAGGGTTGTTAGTCCTTCTTCTTCTTTGTCTGTCTATTGAAGGCAATGTGTATACCTAATGCTTCTGTGTGGGTGGCTCTAAGCAAACTACTAAAACTCTGGGCATGCCAAAGGTTAAGAAAGGTTTACACATTGCCTGTCCCAAAAAGTGTGCAAAACAGAAATGTCGGCTGGAGGACTTTAGTCTAATTTGAATTGTTTGGCACAGTTTTTGCACACTCAAAATTGCTAAATAAAAGAAAACACAACCGGGTTCTGTGGCAAGGTTAGTGATTTCACATTATCTCCCATATTATTATTTACACCTAAGTATAACACAGGGAACACATAACCTTTTGTAATTGCATGAATCAATATTAAATATATATTTTTGTACTCACCAAATGTTTTAAAAGAATAATGGACCTGTTTATTTTTTATTAGCCTGAGGTCTCACGTGAAGAAGAAAGTTCCAACGAAGATGAACTCTTTGGTGCCATTACTGAGCCTCCCCCTGAATTTCTCTGTGTTGACCATTCGACCACTGCAGTGGTTGACAACGATTTCAGGGCAGAACAGGATTTGGACAGCTGTCTACCAAGGTACCATGGAATCTGACTTTTCCACAGTCTGTGCAAATAACAACATGCATATCTACTGTGTGTTAGGGCAACGATATGTGGAAATACTGGATGTACAGGCTGCATCATTCAGGCTATGCTATAAGAATCATAATCTGATTATTGTTTACAAATGATTTCACACGAATCATAATCTGATTATTGTTTACAAATGATTTCACATGAACATGTTGAGTTTGTTTCTGTGAGGGTTGTTGCTTTTTCTATCACAAACGACACAAACTACACTGCAGAAGGAACACAAAGGTCACTAAGACACAGGATTTCACTGTATGTCTGATCAGGTTTGGAGAGGAGGAGAACAACGAGCTGCAGGAGTGTCGCTCTTCTCCCCCTCCGTTGCCCTTCTTCTCTGCCATCCTCGCTGCCTTCCAACCTGCAGTGTGCGATGATGCTGAGGAGGCCTGGAGAAGTCACGTCAGCCAGCTGGTGGCAGACTCCGATGGATCGTGTGCAGTCTACACCTTTCATGTCTTCTCTTCACTTTTTCAGGTATTGTGTGTTTCTGTTTGTGCCGCCCAGCCCAGGAGGGCTCCATGTTTGTCTGGATGACATGTTATACTGTTATGATACAGGATTCACTTACATTCATTGTTGTTGTTGTTCTGCTTCCCAGAGTATCCAGACCAAGTTCTGTTCTTTGACGTGCGATGCTGTTAGTTACCTTGATGATGGACTGAGAGGATTAGGAACCAAGTTCTTAAAGTCCTCTCAGATGCTGACTTCCTGTTCTGAGTGTCCAACCCTATTTATTGATGGCAATACAGTAAGTGACATTAGTATATCCTTCATAAAGTGCTAATATATTTTAATATCTCATTGTTTGATAAACACATTTTATTCTTTACAGATAATGTCTTATGGGCTCTTGGAAAAAATGAAATTCAGCGTATTAGAACTTCAAGAGTATCTTGACACATACAACCAAAAAAAGGAGGCTGCAGTCACCGTAAGTTGATAACAGGGAAGTGTGTGATATTTAGGGAGCAGAATTAAATCAGGGCTTCAGTATTTCAGTAAATCAGAATTTGTCAATGATTGTATTAAACAGCTACTTTAATAACAAAGATGTCTGTTGTCTTAATGGTGTCTTTGCTTTTCACAGTGGCTGAACAACTGTAAAGCCACCTTTCCCAGGACCACAGCCGGCCCAGTTATCACGTTGCCAGTGGAACATGAGGAAAAGGTAAAGAACCGGAACACAAACCTGTACAGACGTTCCAATTTCTTTGAAAAATTGCAACTCACAAAAAGTCAAACTACATGACCTAACATAAGGATTTCACAATAACCTTTCATACTGTACTTTCTGCGTTACATTTACTGCGTGATACTGTAGCTTTGTAAGTGTTGTCTCAAATTTCCTATATAAATGTCATGTTTCTCCAACATACAGCATGTGAGTTGCGGCACATTCTGTCACGTTCAGTGTTGTTTATGTTCACTGTTCATTCTGCAAGGCATGGGTGCAACTGCAACAATCCACTCACTCCTGAATTTCTTCAAGCATTGTGCTAATTATGTGAAAAGTGTTCGGTTTGGCTTGTTATGTTTTGGTTTTGTTATAGTTTGTGATCATAGGGGCGATGTTCAGATGACCAGATTAAAGTGACTCATAACCATGTTGTAAAATTACTTATATATATATATATATATGAAGATTTATTTGGTTAAAACCTATAATGTTAGCATATCACATAAATTACAGCGGCCATTTCAGTATTTAGCTGCACAACGGAGTCACATGCCTGGTTGTCTGAATATAGCTTCAAAGCACGACTTTTAATACTACTTTGTATGTTTAATACCACTACTCTCATAACCTTTCCAACATTGTCCTGCTCAAGTCTCACCTTTTATTGTTTTGGGACCAGCTCACCCCACTTATGATGTAATTTGAATGACATCAGACTACTGTAGTAAATCCGTAGTACATTTTACACCTGCATCATAAATATTCTTTCTCCCATTTCTTTCAGCAACTGGAGCTCTGTCAAAGACTGTACAAACTCCACTTCCAGCTTCTGCTGCTTTTTCAGTCCTACTGTAAGCTGATAGAACAGGTCCATGCAATAAGTTCTATTCCCGAGGTAAGAGATCATCCAATGTTCGCTTCTCCTATTTTTGGGAACAGAATCTCCACAATCCAGACAAATTAATGATGATCTTAATCCCTTTGAACCTTCAGCTGACAAATATGTCCAGTGAGCTGAATGTCATGAGGAGCCACTTGAGGGTAGCAGCATCCTCAGTTACAAATACCCCAGAGTGTTCCTGCTCTGAGCCCACGTTTAGCTCCTCTGAGGCGGCCGTGCAAGCCATTCTGGAGAGTCTGAAAAACAATGAGTTTCAGACGACTGTGCGCTACATTCGTGAGTGCAGGTGAGAAAATCAAGAGGTTTAAGGCAGATTGTTGTGCACAAGGGATTGCTCTGTACAACTATTTTCACGTCCCATGGTGATAATGCAACTTGGAGTATCGCCCAATACTGATGTCAATGATATACCTACTTTTCTCCTCCAGCCTGCCGCAGGCTGCCGTTCCTAAGGCAGTAGTGTCACAGTTTACAACCGACATTATTGCGCAAAATTAAATTAACTTTTTGGCTTAGGTATCTGATTGGACAGACTATAGTTTTTTCGATGTTTGAACCTGAAATTTTGACCAATATCAGACCGACACAATCCTGAGTATCGGATTGAGCCAACATTAGTTCCTACCATTGAGGCCATGTCTATAAATGTAGGCTACATGATTTCAAATCAATTTCAAATTAAACATGTGGTCAATTTTGTTATTAGCCATTCCTTTATCTCATATATGAGTGGTGACTACTTTAAAACTTTAAAACACTCTGGGTTTCACCCTACTTTCTACTCACATGAGCCACATATTCAAATGTCTCTGAGGTTATTTTTCTTCTTTGCAGAACAATGTGGCCTAAAGACATCTTTGGCAGTCAGTCAGAGGATGAGATCCAGACCTTACTGAATATCTACTTCAGACACCAAACACTGGGTCAAACAGGAACATTTGCTCTGGTGGGCTCACAGCAAGACCTAACTGAAATCTCTGTCAAGCTGATGGAACTAAACGGAGAAATGCGTGACATGATAAGAAAAGCCCAGGGCTATCGAGCCATCACCGCTTTCCTGCCAGACTCCAGAGTGTCCGGATCAACTTTATAATTTGGCAGTGTGTCCACCAATGTCCTGCACAGCTGCCACTCCAGAGTCCTGTCTGATGCTTTTGAAAAACCAGCACTCTTCCTCAGTTGCAGAAGTGACTTTGCTGTTGTTGATCTTTTTTGCACTAAAAGCCATTTTCAGACCAATCTGTGAGAGTTAAAAAAGACCAATGTGCTTACACTGATCAGGTTTTCAGGCTTCTAATAATAATACGTATTTTCAAAAGGCTGTTACTGAGTACTGAGGTCTATGACTTTCACTTTTTAGACAGAGCAAAGCTAAGTCTTTGTCAGTCAGCTATTTTGTTTTACTTGTTTTGGGAAAATGTGCAATGCAATTCATTATAATCCTTACTGTGTCCTGAATGTAGTGTTGTTTTTCATGTAGTTTTAAATCAAAGCACAAAGAAATGATATCATTAGTGAAGCGAGGCTGGTATACCGTATACTTGGTTTAAGTAGTGAGAGTTTGCGTGTGAGCGTGATGATGATGTTGTGTGTTTTTGTGTGGGTGTCTGAGTGTGTGGGTTTAAGCGTGATAAACATCTCCTACCATAACACACAAACTGATTTTTATTTTTTTGGTAAAACCTACATGCTGCATATCTACTGTAATGTTAATCAAGCCTACATTCTTCTGTGTAGGTCACATATCTTAACAATATCTTACTGTACCTTCAAACTGTGCAGCTTTTTTGGTAATAAGGTCACTTATTTATATGATTTGCAGGTAAAAATGTGCTTTTTATCAGATAAAGAAAATATTTTTGTTGGATGTTTGCCAATCATGGAAATTCTTAATGTACTATGTATAAGGTAATACATATGTTCACCAACATAAATACAAAAACTATTTTAAATTAATAACTGTATATAGTGCAACCGGGGCTTTGCTTTGACATATAAGATTGTTTTTTTTTTTTTTTTTTGGAATTTTTTTTTTTTTTTTTTTGGTTTTGGTGTTGTTTGTAGATAAAAAAAAAAGATTCCAAAAAAAAAAAAAAAACGATATGGCATCTCACTTTGTAAATACTACTGCCTTTACAACATACTGTACCATGGTGTTCTGTAAACTTCTGTAACAATTAAGTAAAAGTTACATTTATAATCTGATTTAATGGTGTTAGTTGTACATTCTTGATGTTTCACATTTTAATCAAAAATAATCTTTGTGTCGCTGTGGATTAACCACTATTAATTAGTAATCATGCCTTATTAGTGCATACAGTATAAATCAACATTCCTACATATGACTGACGATTTCAGTATATTGCTAGAATACAAGCTTTTATTTTTTTATGTAGCAGGTCGGCAACATCCTCGTCGTCTTATTTTGAAGGCATCGATATTTCCGGTTACTGGAGCGTCGCGCGAGATTTGTTTTGATGGTAGGGAAACTAGCTAGCAGCACAAAAAGTTGGTGGCTCACCATTATATCTTTTATTTTTGGTGAGAATTCAGAATGTTTTTTCTTCGACACTATTAATACAGCGCGTAGATGAATTCCCTCATCCTCCGTCATGGTGAGTGTTCTTCTTTAAAGCCAAAATGCCGCTCCTACTCGCGTCTCGTGTAGAACTTGATTGATTTCTAATCAATGTCGACCACAGTGTCGTTTTATGCAACGGTTCATGATTTTTTAGATCCCCAATTTTTTATTCTTATTAGTCAACAATTAAGTGAAGAAACTGTGCCGGTATGTTAACATTATTAGGTCCGGAAAAGTTGAAAAGTACTACGCGATACGCGTAGGTGCTATGTGTTTTTATACATTGCAATGTATGAACAAAGTATTCCCCAAGGCAATAGCGTATAACATCTTGAGTCAAAAATACTGTAAATACTTACGATATGAAAATGCAATAATAACAAGATGATGGCAAGATAAATGGTAGAAATGGTGTCGATGTAAATAAATATTACAGTATTACTGTTATGCTTGGGGTGAAAATATGCAGTTGTTTAGAAGACGGAGATTACGTAGATTTCTGGCAGATAAACTGCAACCAGGAAAAAATATGTCCTTCTCAGGTGTGCAGGGTAACGGCACGTAACGAGTTTAAAATGGATTCACTCTCCAAAAACATGTATGACGAGTTCAAGGATGACATCTGGAAAGGTAAAGACTTATGAATCTCCACAAAATAAAATTAACTTTAAATTAAGCCTTTCTTAGTGTAATGTGATGATGTTGTTATACCTGATGCAGTCTACTTTTTATTTATCGATTCAGAACTGGGTCCACTGGACCCTGAGTGGTTTCAAGTTGTTATGACTGAAACATCCACTGTGGAAGAGAATATCTCCAGTGTCTCCCACAACACATCTGCTAAACAAGAAGGATGTTTCAAAACACCGTATCACAGAGCTGCAGCAGAGAGTCAGCAGTTTTCAACCCCCAAGGTTTTCAGACGCAGTGTGATAATGTCACCTGAAATGGAGGATGAGCAGACTGTTACTGCAGAAGGTACGATTTCATCATTTTACAATCTAACTGCTAAACTTTAAAGTTAACTTTGCTCTCTGGTTCTCTTTACTATAATAAGAAGCACCGCCATGGAAGGAAACCCAAAGTCCACATTTAGAAAGGTAAATCCTTCTTCTCAATTGGTGGATTTGTTTTTCCTTATGTTTAGAAATCATAAACCTGTCAAAGGCCAATATTACAACAGAAAGGTCTTCTCACTATTGATGTCTGACTTTAAATTATGTTTTATGAACTCTTCTACTTCTTTGGTTTCCTGGGGTCAGACATGAAGAAATACTTGGTGAGCAACAAATTATTATTTTTTTCTATCTTCTTCTATGTGGTGTTATTAATTAAGACCAGATGGTTATTGTTCGGTTTCTCTTTTGTTTTTAAAGATTTGCTTCACACCACACCAAATGCTGAAGTAGGTGTTTTAAATCAAACCACGAGCTGGTCTAGTTTTGCTATGAAAGATGATTATGGTTGTTCTTCTTTGGTTTTAATTTTTATACATCACAGGTCAGCGATGCTGAGAGGATATCTGAGAGTCTTGGTGCACATGTTGACCCGGATGTATCCTGGACCAGTTCTCTAAACACCCCACCTGCCGTGTCAAGCACTCTCATTTTAAGTAAATAAATGTCTCAGTAATGGGGTTTTTTTGTTATGTAGTTCTAAGTTATGTGGTAATAAGTGTTTCAACTTCATCTTGTAGCAAAAAATGAAGAGCGCCCCTGTCCAGAGAGTGTCTGTGCTGGCAAAGATGTTGTTGTAAGTTCTATCATTTTAGCCATGTTTGGATCACAGCTGTTGCTGCAACGTAGCTCTTTATAAAATGGCTAAAGCATAAAATATTAATATATTTTTGACGTGCATTATCTCTGGTTGTAAATAGGGGAAAATTATATGATTTTGTAAATGTCACTCACACAGATGTAATATTTTAGATTCTAAAATTTGTTGTTTGTTTGTTTTTCCCTCAGTTCGTGCGGAGGCTTTTTCCTTCTCTGTCAGTTGAAACAGAATCCCAGAAAAAAACTGACAAACCTCTTCATCAAGGTACATGTTAATTTTAATTTTGTGAATAGGGCATTATGTATATGCATTACATTATATACATTATGAATCACAATAATGGATTTCCTGGTATTTGGGAACTTGATTGTGTTGTATTGTTAATTCTTTTCAATATCTCTGTCTTTTTTGTCTATTTTTTTCACACCATGACATGTTGACATTTCCTGTCTGTCAGCAGGTGCTGTTTTCCCTGAAACTGATCAGACTCAGTCCAATGACTCTCATCATCTTCAGAGTCCAAGTGGGCCTAGTTGGATACAGAATCTTCCAGATGTTATTGAGGATGAAGTTGTCCGCAGCACTGTAGCAAATGTCCTTGATGGCACTGAAAATATCCTTTCAATATTTTTCCCCAATACGTCTTCATCACTGAGAAAAGTGAAAACTGACAGAGTCAAGAGAAGACAAATC